GGTATCCATATAGGGTCAGAAGAGATTAAAATTTCACTCTTTGCAGATGATATGATTCTATATCTGGAAGATAAAAGGGATTCTAGTACTAAACTCTTAGAAGTAATCAAGGAATACAGCAGTGTCTCAGGCTACAAAATCAACACTCATAATTCAGTCACCTTCATATACACCAACAGCAGCCAAGCTGAAAAAACAGTCAAGGACTCTATTCCGTTCACAGTAGTACCAAAGAAGATGAAGTATTTGGGAGTTTACCTAACAAAGGATGTGAAAGATCTCTATGAAGAGAACTATGAAACTCTAAGGAAAGAAACAGCTGAAAATGTTAACAAATGGAAAAACATTCCATGTCCATGGCTGGGAAGAATCAACATTGTTAAAATGTCCATACTACCCAAAGCAATATATAATTTGAATGCAATCCCCATTAAAGCTCCACTGTCATACTTTAAAGATCTAGGACAAATAATACCTCATTTTATATGGAATCAGGAAAAAAACCTCGAATAACAAAGACATTACTCAGGAACAAAAACGAATTAGGAGGAATCACGTTACCAGACCTCAGACTATACTATAAAGCAATAGTGATCAAAACAACATGGTATTGGCACAAAAACAGAGAGGTAGATGTATGGAACAGAATAGAGAGCCAAGAGATGAATCCAGCCAACTACCATTATCTGATCCTTGACAATCCTATTAAAAATATTGAGTGGGGAAAAGATTCTCTATTTGACAAATGGTGCTGGGCTAACTGGATGGCGACCTGTAGAAGACTGAAACTAGACCCACACCTTTCACCATTAACTAAGATAGACTCTCACTGGATTAAAGATTTAAACTTAAGATATGAAACTATGAAAATACTAGAAGAAAGAGCAGGGAAAACACCTGAAGAAATTGCCTTGGGTGAAAATTTTATGAGGACTCCTCGGGCAATTGAAGCAATGTCAAAAATATACTTTTGGGACCTGATCAAACTAAAAAGTTTCTGCACAGCCAAGAACACAGTAAATAAAGCGGGTAGACAGCCCTCAGAATGGGAGAAG